TTGAGTTCGGTCGTTTCGCCACTCGCTAACTGTTGGCGAATCGATGACGGCTTATATAACTCGAGACCGACTTCCTGTAAATGCCGTTCAGGGCCTGTCTGTATACAGTTGGGTCCAGAGTTGCTTGATGAACCTCTGGCTTTCGTCCGTCAGTTCGTAGAGATGCCTCCTGACGCGCCTTGGCGAGGGCTCTTTTGCAAAGCAGCTGTCTATTTGGGTGACCACGTCTGTGGCTAGAAACTGCTTGCAGAGCATTGTGTTGGGCTCCTTAATAGGGAGCATCTGGGTCCGGCCAATGGCCTTGTATGTTGCCAGCAACGTTTCTTTGTCTTTGCCTCAAGTGTTGCCGGCCAGCGACTTGAGGACATTGAGGAGAGTAGACTGTCGAAGATGACACCGAAGGTTTTGCTATTTAGTTCAGTATTTCCATATTCATTTACAACAATGAAAATTTTCCACGGTGATGGAAAATAAAAGTTTTCGTATTATAGCTCCCGAAATTGTTCCCAAATTTACAAAAATTCGCAAAATATAGCTAATATGAAAAACAGATTAGTGTATTAGGAACCAGCGTCCTAAATACACCGCAGAAATATGAATGATGCCCTTTACATCTTTTGACTAAAGACCAGTGCAATTATCAAGAGAACAATTACAATTTGGTTGAAAAACAGATAACTTTGAGAGTAACCATAAATTAAAGGGCTGCCAGAGATTATATTTGATTATGTCATTTGCGGTTACAGATTCATTATCTATAATATCCACCAAACCTTTTCGCTGAACCCCGAATTGCAATTTTGCAATTAAAATAAACGATTAATATTTTAGAGGCTTGTTGCTGACCTTATAACTTATTATACAATTAGGGGATTAACAGGACCTCTTAACAAACCGTCGTAAAATCTTAAGCTTAAAATTTTTAATGTAATTAAAATGGTTTTAGAGGATTTCCAACCAAACCGAAATGTTTTTAGACTGATAAAACAATATATAATTAGTCCCTCCCAAAACCATTTTAACCGTTGTTTTACAAACCAAATGTTAAGCTTAAGATTTTACGACGCTTAACCCATCTTTTGAATCCCCTAAATATATTTTCACTATCACCACCGGCAAGGGTGGACATTTTTACAGTAAAAATGTACTTTTCTTTTTACACGGGTGGTACAAAAAAGAACCTGCTTTTTGGAACAGATATATTTTACGGAAACACTGCTAATTTATTCCACTTTTCTGTGTGAATCTGATATCTTGAAATAAAAGGACCACGAATACTAACAAAGCAACAATTAAAGAAAAAGTATTGCTTTATTGTAAAAAAAAATCCACTCATGTGGAAATCAGTTCCTCTTATGTGGAAATCAGTTCCACTTATGTGGAAATCGTAGAGCTTTTTTTTATAAATAATGACACAGGATGCGAAGGAAGCTTTTACTTGATAAAAATCTTGAAAAAATTTCTTTACAAAAAATTTATCAAGAAAACACAGAATTGGGCCAATAATTAAAAAATATTTGGGAAATTTTTGGAGCAGATATATTTTACGGAAACACTGCTAATTTATTCCACTTTTCTGTGTGAATCTGATATCTTGTAAAAAGAGGACCACGAATACTAACAAAGCAACAATTAAAGAAAAAGTATTGCTTTATTGTAAAAAAAAAATCCGAAATTTCTCTGTCACGGGTGGGACAAAGTTTGTCCCGCGTGGGACACGTACGAATTTTTGTATGAAAAGGTGTTTTAGTGGGGTCCATGTTGAAGATTATTATTAAAAAACATAAGAACCCAAGTTGAAGTTCAATTCAATCACTTTTAATCTTAGGACGGTGCGTCTTATATGAAAGAAAATGCGTAGCGCCGTCAGTCAAAAAAATTATTAAAAATCAACGCGATTTCCTAGCGTCTTAATTTCCAGTTATATCTACTTAAATTTATTGTGCTATAAAACTGCATACCTAGAAATTCTGAATAAAAAGTTACAAATTAAAGATTGTTGAATTTTTATAAATTTTACGAAGTTTTAAATGTGGATTTATGTGGTGCTGAATATGTAATGTGCTAGACTTTTATAAAATATGTATACTCTTAACATTAAATAAACAAAAGAAAAAACCAAAACTAGTCAAAATGTCACTTAACTTAATCAGCTGACCACAAAAGTTATATAGCTAATGGGCGAGTCGCGTTCCCCCTTCTCCCCTATTTCCACCACAACAAACAAATACAGCTTATCAGCCCTGTAAATCCAACTCTGACAACTGTTCCACCCTTAGATGTCACGGGTGGGACATGCTCTACTGTAGAATTATGCTTATCTAACTATGTATGTGGAAACGAAAATGCAATTGTGGTAAACATTTGCAATGAATTTCTAACATTATGTAACAAATACGAAACACAACCTCAACTTCTGTAATTAAATATAACAACTTTTATCTCTTTTGTAACGGGTGGGACAAGGTCAATACTGCTTAATAATAACACATAATTTATGTTACCAGATATTTCTATGCTTGTAACAAAATTAATGACCTGAAAAATCTACTGAACCTGTGCACAAAACAGCCAAAAAATATCTAATACATAGGGATAAATCGATACAAGTAAATCCAAGTCCATACTCGATACTTTTCTCAATTTACCAAGTAGTTTTTTACTAGATACTTTTTACTGCGATCCAAGTTGGTATCGAAAAAAAAGTACTTGTATCGGAAGCGCAAAATTTATTGTGCTTCAGTATCTTTTTTGAAAAGTAACCCATTAGAGGAATGGGAAGATATGCGCACTACATTTCCGCAGCTATATAAGCAAGCCCGTCCATACATAACGGTTGTTGGGTCATCTATCCCTTGCTATCGGCTTTTCTAAAAAACAGGCACAACTATCAGACATGTTCTAAAATTCGAAAATTTTAAATCGACTCGATTTCGATAATTTTCTCGATGGATTTTAACCCAAAAATTTACAAGTCTCGCACTAAAATGATTTATTTCATATCGCTGCTGCTTCTTTTACGGGTTTCAATTATAATGTTCACTGTTTTCATCAGATATACAGCCCGATTCTGTGCACTTGATAAATTGAAAATCTTTATAATTTGTCATTTTTTTATTATTTATCAAGAATTGGTATTCTAGCACAGAAACCAAAAGCTTTTTTCTTGATAAATTATCAAGATTGAAAATGCTATTGACAAATTGAAATTTCATGTGAAATGTATACATTTTGTATATTAATAAATTTGTTTCTAACAATTAAATACTCCATGTGCCGGCATTTGAACCTGCGACACACGGAATTATAGTCGACATCTCTAGCTACTCGGCTACGACAGTTAAAAGCTTTGTTGCTTTTAAATCCATATTTTTCATATGTGACAATGAAATCAGTTCCACACATGTGGAAATCAGTTCCACTTATGGAAATCGTAGAGCTTTTTGTTTTATAAATATTGACACAGAATACGAAGGAAGCCGTTCCCACGACATTTGGAAAAGTAGATTTTTTTGGGAAATATAAGTATATAAGGAGTTATTTTCTCACACTTATTTTATATGAAAAAACCTTATCTATTAATCTTGTAAAAATGTATTATATTGCTTTTGTATGAAAAAATATTAGAAGATAAATAATCTTGTAAAAATTCAATTTTTTTGTGAAAAAAAAAAATCAATAACTTTGAAAAATTTGCAAAATCGTAGTTCTATGTACAAGTACTCGATACGTTTCCGATACTGAGTAGGTATCGATACCTTGTTTGATACAATTACAATAACTGATTTGAGTAATACCTTGATGGTACCGATTTGTCCCTACTAATACATTAATACTTAAATACTCCACATCAGTAGAACAAATTAATTACACGTATTTTTTATATTTTATTCAACATTTTTATAATTTTATACAAATTCGCCAAAAAAACGCGTCACACGGGAACACTCGATTGCTTTGAAAGCACTTGCAGCAAAAATTAAAATTGCTAGTGCAGCACGCTCAAGTTGAAATTATTCTCGAAAGCGATTTGAGTAATTTCAGTTGCAGTTACACCTTGCAATTTTTATTTCCGAAAGTGATTTCTGCAAATCTGCAAAAAGGACTTTCAATAAATTTTTTAATTTTATTTTAGGTTCCCGAATAAAGTTCCAGGAAATGTTGCTCTACGCAACTCCCGATCCGAGGTCATCGCATTTTCAAACCTCCCGAGTGTTCTTCTGCCATGAAATCGCTTCTTATAAAAGCCATTTGTAGTTCGGAGGCGACCTAGAACTTTAGGTCCCTTTATTTGCGTGACGAGATCAACATGCAGATTATGAATAACATGATACCAAACTCGTTTTATGCAATTAAAAAAAAATAGCGAAAGAGCAGCTAACTATGTATTATTATGTATGTTAAAGCGAAATGAGTGGAAATCAATATATCTGTGGTCATAAGCAATAGCCGCCTAAGTCGAAAACCCTGAATTCAAGAAAAAACGTTTTAAACATTTGGATTGTAATGTTAACCTTATGGGGAAACCAAAATATGTTTGTCTATAACTTTTTAAATAGCCTAGCTGGCGAGATGGCGATTTCACATATACATGGAATAGTAGTGGCAGAATACGATAACATATGGTCGTTTAAAGTACAAAACCGCTTATCAAGATAATGCAAAACCGCGTATTAAGGTAACGATATATAACTCAATTCTTTCTTAAGTCGACTAAGGCGGTTATTGCTTATGACCACAGATATGTATTAACGGTGTACAGGACTGAGTTTGTATGTAAAGAAAATAGTTTAACTGATTTATAAGTTGTATAATGTTAACAGCAGGAATGTCAACAACTGTTGACTTGCAAGATTTGACTAGTTTTGTGATCTCAATAACTTTTTCTGCTAGTTTTCTATATATCTCAATTTTACTCTCTATTTTGCTTTGACGCTCTAGCGGCGACTTTTTAGTTGAAAATTTGCTATACACGACTAATATATAAGTAAATTACACACCTGAGAGAGGATTCCATCTTTTGTAGAAAGTTTTAAGTCATCAATTTTTTGCGCCAGTTCGTCTGAAGTTTCGCTTTTAGTTGCCAGTTCTTTGGTATCTTCTACTAAGTGTTTCTCCTCAGTTGACATGGGAGAAGGTGATAGCCCATCTGTACAGACTGATTTTTGACCAGGAGTGAATTCTGGAGCGAATATATTCAGAGAGGGATGTTCGTGCTCAAAGTCAATTTCCAGTTCAGCTCCACTGGGCTTCGCAAAACAACTATTTTCGAATGAAATGTGATCTGCTACAAGGTTAGGGTTACTGGCGTCAGTGAGGTTTTCGCCTGTTCGCTTAAGGGTTACATCATCTGCATTTTGTAATTCAGTTGAAGTGCTGTCTAAGTAGAATGATTCTTGCATATTTGCTCCATCATGCATATCAATAGGTATTTGTGGTATATCCTTTATTGATGAATGCATTTGATTTTGCATGTTCATTTTCATTTCTTCAGTCGAAGGCGATTGAGAAATGTAGTCTTTTTCTTCGACATCTAACAATTCCTTTCCTCCAGCTTCTAATTCTTGTTGTGACCGTTCTTCAATAAAAGAAACGTTTACACTTTCAGTATCGATTGGTAATGGCTGTACTGTATTAAGTACATCCTCAATAGGATCAGGCATTTCAAATTTATGTTGCTGGGCTAGGTTGTCATTATCACATAGCTGAATTCCAATATCAGCATCTAAATCGACAGATGTTTCAGGACCGTGATCGATTATATTTGCTGGGGAATGACGAATATCAAGTGAATAATCTGCTTCTTCTGCATTTGTATCTTCTTTGAGTAAATGCACACCATCATTATTATGATTTTCAAACTGTTGTAAGTGCTGTACCGTACCAACACCAATTAAATCGTCTTCTTGCTCCAATTCATGCGGACGCTTTGCGGCTTCATGTTCAAAATCATTTTCTTCAGGCAATGCAATACCATCTAAATTGGATTCAACACTTCCCTTGCGTGGGCTCTGAGCCACGAAATCATCATCACTAAGCAGGTGGCGTGCTATTGAGTTTGGGTGTGGTTGTGGCGCTGTTTCTGCATCACTGTTTAAAGCCGGTTCGCCAACAGTAAAAGCTGCACTATCGCTTGTGGGCACTAGGGGTGAAGCCGGATTCGAACCAACACTGGGGACGAACACCAAAGCATTTGGGTTTAAGTGTGAGTGCGTTTCAAAGTCCAGGTCATTAGGTCTGATAATTTCATCCTTACCACCATGTAAACCAATGCTTGGTAAACTAGGATTAGCATTTTCTTTGTTTTCTATAGAAAGTTCCACGGTTTTTAGATCATTTTTTTCTGAACTTAGTTGTTGTAGTGGAGCATTTTCGCTAAGACTATTTGTTCCATTGGTAGTATTTGTTGCCAATGAACTTGGTTCCTCTTCTTCCATCTCTACGAAATTTCTCTCAGCACCACCAGCACCCAATAGATTTTCAACCGGCTGTGATTGCAGTAATGTTGCTGTTTCGATTTTCATTTCGACTTGCAGTACACCATTATCCGAATCGACGTCTTCGCCGCCTATAGACGTTGTATTAGAAGTTGGTGAAAAATCACCATAATTTTTTAATGCTTCATTCTCTTCAATGCCGGTTGGCGTGTTGATGGCGTCTACGTCAACAGCGGCTGAGATGCCAACGACACCGTTACCAACTTCGTGCTTGTCTAGCAAGAGCATATCGTCGGCCCCGACATCGCCTACCTCATATACGTATCCATGCCCGTTGCCAACATCTTCTACGTCTTCCATATCTTTACTATCTATACCGTCTTTAATTCGCTCTTGCTGCTTTTCGCTCTGTTGCCCTTCTTTAATATACTTCCATTCCTCCTGGTCATGCCCTTCATGTTCACCAAATTTTCCACCAATACTACTTCCAATCTCTTCTGCTACAACATTATCACACACACCATCACCACTAGCCATCTGCAAATTATCCATCAAATGGGGCGAGCTTTGCAAAACGTTGTCCAAGTGCGCATTATCCTCGTGCTCCATTTTAAACTATGGTTTTTATATCAAATACCTTTCTTTTTCTTTGTTCACTGCTTCTGGGCTCTCCCCTTTTAATGTTTTGCACAAGCTATTAAAGGTTCTCGAATTTGTTTTAATATTTATCGATATTAAATTCACACAAACTTTTACAACACTGTTCAAACAATGCTCAAAGCTCCCCGTTTTCTCCAAATATTTAGAACTTATCCCAAACAAAGCGTCTTGTCAAATTTGCTGCACTATTCGCACTGCGAAGATCCCAATATCGAACGAAGAACACACCCGGCAAAATGACCCAACAAGCAAACGAATGAATTGGGCGGCACGAAGTCACTCGAGTATTTGTTGCCATCCAGATTTTTTTTACCAAAATCGATAATAACGGAGTTGCCAGACCCATAAATTATAAATTACGCTAAGGCTACCTGAACACTTGTTTTGTAATTTTTGCTATGCCACTTTTCTTCCAATTCTCTGTCACCTTCAAAACATTGGAAGACGCGTTTTGAAGCGTTAAAAGAGAGAAACATTAAATGTTCGAGGAATTCTCAGCGTTGGAATCGTGTGGCGTTCTGCGTGATTTTGTATTTTTGGTTCATGTACTAAACACGACCAAATTGACGGCAATAGATGGCAAGCTATAAGCTCTGATATATATTGCTCTTGAAAAGCAATGAGGGGCTCCAGTGGCTATTTTTACATACATAGGTATCAAGATAGTTCAGATCCAGTACTCCATGAACTTACAGGATTTTACACGAGCTTGCAGGAAGTTGCAGGAAAAATGTTCCCGTACTCCAAAATCCTCCAAAATCCTGTAAATGAGAGCGACTTTTGGAGAGTTGTGTAGAGAATGAAGTTGCAAGATTTTACCCGAACTTTTTCTTCTGGTAAAATCATGAAAAGTGTCAAGCAATCACTGGTTGACGTTTTTACAGGAAAAATGGATTTTTTGTTCCTGTACTTTTTGTTGTTACTCACTTTTTACTCTCACTTCAGAGAGTAATTTTGCTGTTTGGCAGTTTTACAGGATTTTTCACGAAAAGTATTGGATCAGAGCTGATATAAGTCAGCTAAACGACAATTTTAACAATTTGGCTATTCGATAAACGTTTCCCTAACAACATTCGTTAGCGCCAAATCAGCTGCTGTGTTTAACGATAACAAAGACTGCTTATTTGTCGACGTAGAGTTTGGTGTTGTTAAAAAAAAAAAAACATAAATAGTACGTTCTACAATTTTTTCGTACAGAAAAAAATGCACAGGACCGCTAGCTAAACAAAAATTATAATTTAATGTGCTACAAACTTGCATACATAATTTTTTTATTATTCTTATTAAAAACTTGAAGTTTTACGAAAGTTTGTTGAATTTTGTTTAAATATTGCAGAGTACCTATTAAAAACAAGTAATATAAATTACATAGCAAAAAAAAATAGTTTGTTAAAACTTGTATATATGGGTTCCGGTTTTGATTTTCCAATAGGGCATAAAACAAATATAGAAAACTGAAAGTTAAAATGTTATAAGTGTATTTTTTAATCGTACAGGAACTGAATGTGCTTTGAATTTAAAGGAATTGAATAATTAAATTTACAATTTTATACGTATACATCGTTTGCTGAAAGTATAAATATCATATATGTATGTGTATATTTACATATTTCTTTATTAATCATCATTATTTATTTATTTGTTTATGAAGGATGTTCTTACAGACTACATATATTAGAAAAAGTTACATATTATAAAATATTATTGAGATTACTTAAATAAGATTCAAGTCGATTTCGGAAAATACCCTTTGGCATAGGGAGATCAAGGTCTAGAGAACTATAAATCGTATTGATTTCTTGCAAAGTTCTATTTAAGGGAGCATTTCGGCTGTAAAGAGTTTTGCTAACAGCGACTCTATACAAATCAGTACACTGCTAGGAACATTGAAATAAATTCTGCTGAGTAATAGGGGGCAATCAACGTTACCGGAAATTACATCGAAAATGAAGGAAATTTACAGGAAAATTCTTCGGTATGCAACGGCATTAAGTTAATTAACTAACAACGTGAAAAATAGGATGGGATAGGGTCGGAGAAGTTAAGCGATCTTAAGGCGTGTCGGATAATCACGCGCTGGACTGACTCAATCCTGTTTATGTGCACTTGGTAATAAGGTCTCCAAATAAAGCCAGCGTACTCTAATCTTGACCGAACAAATGCAGAGTATAAGACTTTGGGAAAACGCAGTACTGTTGCGTTTTCCAAAAGTTTGCATCGAAAATGAATTAGCGACGATAAAATTTACATGCGTAATGAAATTAAATTTCGAATCGAAAAATACTCCTAGGTCCTTAACTACGTTGAAAGACTCCAATCTAGTATCAGAAATACGGTATGATGTGGGTAGCGGTGTAGATTGTTTTGAAAACGTGATTTGGTTACATTTTTTAATGTAAAGAAATAAGCGATTGAGGTCAGACTCCAACTGGGAATTCACGTCGATGATACACCAATTCCGACGTCGAACAACCCGAAAAAACTCGGAGGAACGTTCGATAGTCTGCTCTCCTTCTCGGCGCATACAACCGCTATTGTCAACAAAGTACAAAGACGCAACAATGTCCTCAAGCCGCTAGCCGGCAGCACCTGGGGCAAAGACAAAGAAACGTTGCTGGCAACGTACAAGGCAATTGGCCGGCCGGTTCTGAACTACGCTGCGCCAGTGTGGTCACCGGGTACTAGTAGGACGCAGTGGATGAAGCTGCAGACTTGCCAGAACACGGCACTTAGGACAGCGACAGGATACCTCCTGATGTCGCCGCAACACCACCTGCACGAGGAGGCCCACATGCTCCCAGTTAAGGAGCATAACATGATGCTTTGCAGGCAGTTCCTGGTTGGGAGCCACATATGTGGCCATCCAAACAGGCAACTCCTTGCAGAAGAGCCTTCGCCCAGGCACGTCAGGAGGCATCTATACGAACTGACGGACGAAGTCCAGAGGTTCATCAAACAACCTCTGGACCCGACAACCTATCTACAGGCCTTGAACGGCATTCACAGAGAGGCAGTCTCATGTTATGTAGACTCCCGACCTGTGAATGCCGTTCTGGGCACACAACGACCAGACGTGGACGAGACAGAACTTCGTCTGCCTCGGGAGACTCGGACCACAATAGCCCAACTGCGCTCTGGTTAATGCAGCAGGCTGAACTCATACCTGAGCAGACTAAGCGAAGATATCCCAAATGAATGTCCGGCCCCATGACTCACAGCATCTCTTCGCATGCCCTCTAAACCCCACTACGCTAACGCCCCTGTCCCTATGGATAGACCCCGTCGAAGCTGCACGCTTCCTATGGGCTACCGTTAGTGGAGATTGACGACAACGACTGAGGGATCTGGGTGGGGTTGTTGTAGCCGCTACAACAACAACCAACTTACTTAACGAAATTACCTACACACGCACCAACCCCATGTTAACGTTAATGCGCCTTTAAAAAATAAAATCGCATTTTACAAGTTTACCAACCTGCCTCAAAAATCAAAAAATTTTGATTTTCTCCAACCTGACGAACAACTTGTAGGGTTTGCCAACTTGCCTACACAAGGCTTATTTACCACCAACTTTTCGTTCCCACGACAGTCGGGTCTACGTAACCGGAACGACCCAGATTTATATTTGGCCAAGGACTGTCACTCCAGCAACACTCCACAAAAGCTCTTTAGGGACTCGTCACTCACTCTCCCACAAGTAACGAGTTGTCGCGACCAAAGTTTCTCTGTCTGAACCTAGACTAAGCAAATTACGATTGACGAAAGTTGATGTACTTTTTTTTTTGTCCGCTGGCAATACCGTGGACGCGCGAAAAATTTTTCTCTGCAATTGCGAAATTTATTTCAATTCAATAAAAACAGTAATTTAAGCGTACAAATTACGCTAATCATCTTCTTTTCTATACTGATATTGTTACGACTTGTAGATATCGGAAAAAAGGAACAAAAATTAAATTTAAGAGATCCCTATCAAAGATGGAGAATAGTGGCGGGGGCTCGGATGGCCCCTTAGCCAAGACAAAACGTAGGAGCCGAAGCAACAGTAGATTTAGGCAGGAAACCAAAAAAGGGAAGCTAGATACCCCAGCAGTGGCCAATGCAAATTCGGAGGAAGTAAACATGACAGACATTCAACCAAGTAAGTGGACTATTTTTATAATATGAACCATAAGGAGCCGTTCTCTGTGTACCTGGATAAAACGGATATTAACAGAGAGCGAATGCCAATTAACGCTTTACGGTCTCCAAAATACTTAATACCTTACAAGTACCTGACGTTGAAGAGGTAATCAAAGTTGGTTGTTCAGAAATGGAAGTGCAGCCAATGAATTCTACAAAAATGAAAATATCAAACAACACCTATATGAGACAAAAATCTTTGCACAGTGCGTTTCCAAAATGGGTATCATCATTGATATTCCAACAGACCTATCGGAACAGGAATTACTTCAAGGACTTAGTTCACCAATACCAATACTGGGAGTTCTAAGAGTGATGAGAAAAGAGAACGGCGAGAAATTCCCGACGAAACGTGTCAAAGTTATATTTGACGGAGTAAACATACCACCGGAAATTAGCTATATTTATACTAAAATTAAAGTTAAATATTGTATCACATTCGCGCAGTGCTATCGCTGCTTCCGATACAATCATTTTGCACAACACTGCAAACAGACAGACTCAATTTGTCCACTTTGTAGCGAATCACATGGGAAAAATATAACTTGCACTAAGAAATATTGTATTAATTGTGAGGGCGAACACGATGCGACCTATAAAGGCTAGAATAAAGGCTCAAAAAAATAATAAGGGTACTCATTTAACAGCGCAAAACTCTCGCAAACTGGGCAAACTGTACAATTTTAAACCCTCGCAAAATGAAATGTCAAAATTTGTATGGAAAGCCATTTGCACAAAAAGGAAACCTTTGCGCGGCAATTTTGTAGAGCAACTTTGCGCATTGCGCTGTGCAATCCTCAATCAGATATTTTGTTTACATTAATTTTGGTTTGTGCTCAACGCTTTTTCGAAATAACTGCGGTAAAACATAAATATTTGCTCAAATTTGAGTTTCAATTGTTCAACTTTATAAATTAAGTAAAGTGAAATAATTAAATGTCAGAAATTGCACAAAATATAAAATTTTCCTCATGAAACACATGACGCAAAGTTGCCCAATTGCCCAAATATGAAACTTGCACGTGTATATGAGTACCCTTAATAAGGGTACTCATTTAAAAGCGCAAAGCTCTCGCAAACTGGG